TGTCAAAGGCCAAACAGCTTGCGCTCAAGAAACAGCCCCCTCTATGAAGCCTGCAGAGCCTGTTAACTACAAGTCAAACAGCTTTGGGTTTTCTTTTCTTTTTTTTTTCCTTTAAAAAAAGATAACTGAGCGCAACATTAAGTTAAGAGACAAAGTACTCAAAAACAGTAAATGTAAACAGGTGGTTTCTCCAACAACAGAATCCCAGTTCCACCACACTTGAGGTTGGCCAGAACTTTAAGTAAAGTATCTTAAAAGGTATCAATTAAAGCATCTAAATGCTCTAAAATCTACATGCTTTCTGGTACTTCCTGAAAATTTGCCCTATCTCCTAGGGTGCAAGATAGGGTTTGCAACCCAAATTCAGTCACCAGAAAAGGCTCCTGAGGGAGCAGCATTTCTTAAACTTCATTTCTAGGACTCAAGCTATGGCTCTGATTGTCCCCCAAACACTGCTCAGCATTTGCCCCAGCTAATGCGTGGCATCTATAACCCTTCAATAAAGCAATAAAGCAAGGCTGAAAGCATTACAAAAAAAAAGACTTTAACTCTCCATTAGTGGACACTCATGTGTTTCATGAATGCACAGAAAAGTGAGCCAAGAGGTTTTTGAGTGAAGCAGCATTACCTGGCCAGTTCACATTTCTCCTTATGTTAAAAAACATAAAGGAATCCCCTTCCAAAAATTGTTAAGGCAGAACACAGAACTAGAGCTATGCAGTACGAACCACTGCCTTCCAGAAAGTCAAACTGAACAAATCTCCTACTTCTCGAAACCAGGAAATCCACAATTAAGCTACACATTTACACAACCTTAACTCTGCCATTTTTGAGCGATACCCCAGGACACTCGTCACACACATGCTTACACTCTGTCTTTGCAGACAGTGCACAAAGTTCAGAGAGCAAGGCACCTAATGACCGTAGGACAGAGTGTAACCCCTTTTTGCTTATGTTTGTATGAGCTGAATAGGAGCTACCTGCCATTTTCATGTACGTGCTAAAATTTACAACCACCGCCCCAATGCACAGGATACCATTGAACTTCATACCCTTTCCCTTCCTATCATTAAATCATAGATCACTCATATGCTACCCTGCTGCTGACAATTTCTGTTAGCAAGGTAAGCCCTGTGCACTGCTACAAATAAAACTTTCAGTTCTTTGTGCTGAAATGAGGCATGAGGACTTCTCTTTAAGCGCACATGCATAATTTCCTTGTCAACATAGCTCACTTTGAAATCTCCCCTTCTCTTTCCTGCCATGCCTTGATGAAATGATACTTTCAGAAAAGGGAGGCTGCCCCAAAGCTTCCCAAACCTGATCTCACATTCCTGAGCTTAGGTGTCTCCACTCTCTGCCTTATGGGCTAATTGTGTAGGCTCCGTCCTCCCCAATACCCATACCTCGCAGATGTCACATATTAAACAAATCATAACTGCCCCCATGGGCTATAGGCTCCTGGCTCTGCTCATCCAACATCTCACGGGAAGAGCACACAGCCAAATCTGACCAGTCGCGTAGCTTCCTCGCATGCATTGATGACCTCTACCTAACGTAAGAGGTCTACAGGCCAACTAAGGGAGAGGCACTGCTGGATCTGGTTCTGGCCAAAGGGGATGATCTCGTGAACGATCTGAGGGTCGAGGGGAAGCTTGGTGACAGCGACCATGAACTGATCACTTTCTCTGTCCAATGCAGGGTGGGCAAGTATCTCAGTAAAACAGACATCCTCAACTTCGGGAAGGCCAACTTTAAAAAACTCAGGAGGCTGGTCAACCAGGCACTCAGAGACCATGTCCCTTTAGAAAGGGGAGCCCATGAGGAATGATTGTTCCTTAAGAATATAATCCTCAAAGCACAAGGAAAGTCCATTCCACCCCAAAAGGAAATGCAGTCAGCGGGCTGGGGTGCCCCCTTGGCTCAATAGGGAACTTTTGGACTTCCTGAAGCTAAACAGAGAAGCCTACACCAGATGGAAAATGGAAGTCATCACCAGGGAGGACTACACAGCACTAGCCCAAACCTGCAGAGAGCAGACCAGAAAAGCCAAGGCAGACACCAAACTCAGGCTAGCCACAGGAATCAAGGACAACAAAAAGTCTTTCTTCAAATATGTGGGAAGTCAGAGGAAGAACAAAGGCAACAATGGGGCAGCTGACAACTGATGCTCAGGAAAAGGAAAATCTCCTAAAAGATTACTTTGCATTGGCTTCCACCTGTCCAAAGGGGTCACCCTGTCAGACAGGGCGCAAAGCATCCATGGGACGGGAGATGGCCCACAATTTATGTAGATCAACGAGGGAACACCTCGAAAGACTCAACATCCATAAGTCCATGGGCCCGAATGGTATGCACCCAAGAGTCCTGAAGGAGCTGGCAGACATCATAGCACTCCTATGACAAAGATATTTGAGAACTTGTGGCCCTCAGGAGAGGTACCAAAGGATTGGAAAAGAGCCAGTGTGGTTCCAATCTTCAAGGAAGGAAAGAAGGAAGACCCAGGGAATTACAGACCAATCAGTCTGACACCCATCCCTGGAAAGATACTGGAGAAAATTATCAAAGTTTCCATCAGCAGCAGGATACCGGAAAGCAACTCTGAGTGCCAGCCGACATGGCTTTGTTGCTGGAAGGTCTTGCCTGATCAACCTCATCTCCTTCTATGACCACGTGACACAATGCCTGGACAAGAGAGATGAGGATGATGTCATATCTTGATTTCAAGAAGGCTTTTGATTGGTCTCACATGATGTCCTCATGGCTAACCTGGAAAACTGCGGCTTCAACTATCTCACGGTCCGATGGTTGGGGAACTGGCTTCAGGGTTGGACCCAAAGAGTACTGGTTGATGGCAGCAAATCAACATGGAGCAAGGTGACTAGCACTCTTCAACATTTTCATTAATGATCTGGATTCAGGTGTCAGATACAGACTGGCAAAGTTTGCGGATGACACTGAACTATGGGGGAAGGCGGTCACACTGGAAAACAAGTTGGGGATACAGGCCGACCTGGACAGGCTTGCAAGGTGGGTGAACCAAAACCTGATGGCATTTCATGCAGAGAAGTGTAGGGTACTCCACCTTGGGAGGAAAAACCAGCATCCTACTTATAGGCTCAGCAGTGCTATACTTGCTAGCACCATGACCAAAAGAGACTTGGGGGTCTCGATTGACCACAAGATGAACATGAGCCATCATGCAATGTCATGGCCAGCAAAGCAAACTAAACTCTGACACACATCCACCGATACATCTCAAGCAAAACCAGGGATGTCATCCTCCTACTCTACTCAGAGTTAGTGAGGCCACAGCTGGAGTACTGTGTCCAATTTTGGGCCCCACATTTCAGGAGGGACGTGGATAAGCTTGAGAGAGTCCAGAAGAGAGCCACCCACAAGACAAAAGACCAAGAGCCTTGCAAGGAGAGGCTGAGAGACATGGGACTCTTCAGCCTGAAGAACAGAAGGCTCAGGGGGGACTTGGTGGCAGCCTATAAGTACATAAGGTGCAGTGCACCAGGATCAGGGAGAACTGTTGTTTACCAGGGCTCCCCAAGAGATAACAAGGTCTAAAAGCCACAAACTTCTGGAAGGCCGATTTAGACAGGACATAAGGAAAAGCTTCTTTACAGTCTGAGTGTCTGGTGTATGAAACAGACTCCCCCAAGAGGTGGTGCAAGCACCTACTCTGGACTCATTCAAATGGTATTTGGATGCTTATCTTGCAGGGGTCATTTGACACTAGCAGACTTCCTACCTATGGCAGAAGGGATGAACTTGATGATCTTGCGAGGTCCCTACCAGCCCCTAATGTCTATGAATCCTTACACCAGCCCCTCTCTGGGCTAGAGGCATTCTGGACCCCCAGTCTCTAGCTGTCCTTAGACCCTGTCCCTGCTCCTAGGTCAGCTGAGACCCATGGGCTCTCCAGCCCCACCAGTCTCTGGCTGTGGCCCTTCTTGGCTTCCAGCCCTGACCAAACCCTGGCCCCACTCCTAGGTCAGCGAAACCTATGGACAACCTGGTGCTACTCACTCCAGGCCTCTGGTCTCTTTGAGCCCTCTAGCCCCTGCTCTCTCTCTGGGCCCTCTTGCCCTCCATTCTTTCTCTGGGCCAGCTAGGACCTCCTTACCTCCCTTTAGTCCCTTCCATAAACCACCAGTCAGATGTTACCCAGGAGCTCCCCTCCATGGCTCTCAGGGCTAGACAGCCTGTCCTGCTCCACCTCTGGGCTTATATCCTGATAGCCCAGCCCCTATAGGCCATGTGACTCCTGACAGCTGCATGCTGCTTCTCAGGCAGCTTGCCTTCACTTAAAGTAACAGAAGCATCAGGCCTCCTGCTACAGAGAGAGGGATTCAAAGGCTCCAGAAGCTCCTGCCTGATTTCCTCACATCACAACTGCAGGTCCTTCAAGCTGTTCCAATTAACCCCTCCAGCATGCCATACTGCTACACCTAATCCAGCCAACACAGTTAGACTGCCTTCAGGCAATTCCCAAGACCTACTGACAGCTGTAAAGGGGGAAAGAGTTACAGTTGCATGGCATGTATTAACTCTGTATTCACTGGTTTTCAGAGGTTTGAGTTTTGTTGAATTAAAAGTTCTGGAAAACCACAAGATAACAGCAGGCTGAATTGTGCCATAAGTTTCTCATTAGCAAACTGACCAAGGGTTGGTCTTCACTCAAGACCTAGAACCCATCCAATGTTTTCTTGCCATGACCCACCCAACCCAACAGTCCTTCAAGTTTGAACTCTGTTCTCCTCATGGCTAGCAGTACCCTCCTGTCACCATCTGAAATAATGCCGCCACAGCAACTGAACTTTCATATCAGCTCCCATCCTTACACAGACTTTTGTGTCTTCTGCCATGGCCCTGATGCTGGTCTTGCATTATAGGGGGAGCTTAAGACAGGTATCACCAAGAGACAAATGCTAAATGCCCAACCTCACCACTGCATTCCTGTTTGGTTTTTGGAAAGAAACAGTATTTACCTGGCAGACAGTTGCACTCATAGACGAAATCACCGGTTTGATGACATGTCCCTCCATTCATACACGGTGAAGGTGAACATGGCACATATGTGCTTTCACAGCGGTGGCCAGTAAAGCCTGGCTTGCACTGACATCGATAGGAGCCAGGCACATTGAGACAGGTTCCACCATGCTGGCATTGTCCTGGTGTGATACATTCATTCACATCAACTTCACATTTTTGTCCAGTGTAACCAGATGGGCATGTACAGGAAAATCTCTCCCCAGATGCGATGCAAGTACTTCCATTGGCACACGGCTGAGACATACAAGCATCAATCCACTGACAGTTCTTTCCTGTGGAATCAAGACATTTGAATTTAAATAAGTAGAAACGGTTTGTATAGAAGATACCCCATATTTTATGACGCTTTCAAATCCCTCCAACACAACTGCATAAGTAAATTAGAACAGGAGAATGCACCTCAGCTCTGCATTCCTCACTGTAATCAACAATATGATTTAGTTTTAGCTTGTTTATACAGGACCTACAAGACAGCAAATACTATGCTTTATAAGCAATATATCCATAAGCTGGAATTCTACTGCACTGATAATATTTGCTCACTTCCCTCGCATTGTCTTCAAAGATGAAAATTCAGATTTCTATATGTTCCTCTTACACAGAATTAAACCTTCCCATAAGAATATCCTGCTGTTCAAAATTGTTCAATACGATGCTTTAAGGGCCTGCCCACTTACAAAAGTTATTCTGGAGTAATGTTCGGTGTAAACTTCATAGAACATTGGGGCTAGAAGAGGCCTCAGGAAGTCATCTAGTCCCATCCCCTGCTCAAGGCAGGATCCTCTGACTGAAATACCCCAGCCCCACCCCAGGTATCTGTCTAACTGCTCTTGAAAACTTCCAAGGATGAAGATTCTGCAAAGTCTCTGGGTAGCCAGTTGCTCTACCTGACCATACTCACACTGAGAAAGTTCAATTTTGAAGAATAGTCACTGTCCTGGAATGGCTACACTAATCAGTTACCCCATGTATACAAAATGCATGCATATATTTAAAGATCAACTCTGAAACGTAAGAAGTCTTAAGTCTGGCCTTTTTTTTTTTTTTTTTTTTTTTTTTTTTAACTGTTCATGTTGTGTGCCCAAGTTCTCATTTATAATGTTAAAGCTATTAGCCTGACAGCATTTTAGAGCAGCACAACAGCATTTCTGGAAGGGTTCAACTAAGCTTTTAAGGACATAACATGAGGAGACTAAAGATATATAAGTAGAATCTCACCTGTGTAACCTGGCCTACAGACACATTCATATGCATCTGGGCCAAGCAGCTGGCAGGTTCCTCCATTTAAGCAGGGGTGTGACACAAAGCAGATGTGAGAATCGGAATATCTGCAGTCCTCGCCTCTGAACCCTGGAGCACATTTGCAAGTGGCCTTTCCTATCACAGACGTGGTTTCACATGTTCCTCCATTCTGACAGGTACCGCTTTCACAGGGGTTTCTGTGCTGACAATAGTCTCCAAGAAAACCTTCTGGACATCTGGAAGAGAAAAGTCATCAGTAGTAATATGTTCACACTGAACCTCATTACACAAGATCCCTGTACTAGATTCCCACTGATATCTCAGACATATCAAGGACTCTCTTTTGCTATCTAGACAGTTCCTACTATAACAGTTAAGGCCCTCATTTTTTATGGCTGGCCACAGTGATATTTTGGAAAACAGAAGATCATAACAATTAACTCTCAATGTAAAATTCCACTAAGTGCAACTTGAGTTTCATTAAGCACAAAAAATTTACCCTTTTCCTCCCTTCACCCTTGCAGCTATACTTCTCTTGCCCTGTAATCTCTTAAAAATATAAATAAAATTTGAATGTTTGAAGAGCAGTTGAGTATTAGTTTATTTCTCTAAGATAATCTTGTTCTATTTCGTGTTCTTCTGCAGAAGTAATTAAACTGTGTGAATAACAGATGCTATCCATCTCTCTCTGGTACTTCTATAGTCTGAGTTACTCTAGTACTGAAGAGCCTCAAGACCTTTAGCAGATGTTCCTTTACACTTCCCATGGGGTAGACTAGTGCTGTTATCTCCTTTGTATGGATGGGGAACTGAGACTGTGACTTGCCAGAAGTTGCACTGGAAGTTAACAACAACAGTAATTGAACCTCACCGTCCCAGGCCAAATACCTTAACCATGATGCTGTCACTAAGGGGGGAGGGGGGAAAGTACTGGCATATTATTGATAAATGGGCAATCTCAAAGATTTGTGTGCACAGAATAACTGCAGCTATTTTTCACCAAGCAAGACTTGTGTCAACACAGTATGACTATGCTTGTCAGCCGCAATCCATCTTCCAACTGGCCTTTGTACTATGCATTTTCAATTCATTTTCCAGCAGCAACACACACACACACACCCTTGTTTTTGAGAGGCAAAAGAGAAATCTGCAAAATGTTAATCAAATAGGCCAAATATTTTTAAAAAGCAAACAAAATTGGACTGTCAATCTGCAGATTTTTCGACAATTTCAGGTTGGATGGTTTTAACTGAGTCGTCGTCAAAATATGCACAGCTTGTCTAAGAGCCCATTAGAAACATTCAACTAAAAACATCCAACAATTGAAGACTAGATGCTCTGTTCTCCTGCTGCAGAAATGATTAAATTATAAAATTAGGTCAGTCAGTTACTCTAATCCACCAAAATGAGACTCAGCCTCCAAGGAGGAAGACCAGGTCTTTCATGATGTCCAAGGCAGTGAACAGGAATGGGGCTGAAGTAAACTGTTTCCTAATTAATTTAAAATGCCCTCATCCAGAGAATTAACAACTGGCTAACTGGTAGGTGTCAAACTGCAAATGTAAACAGGGACTTATAACAAAGTGCATGTGTTTCTACAGAGATGAGTTCTGGGCCCTGCACTATTTAATGCCTATCCATGCCCTGGAGGAAAGCATAAAATTGTCCCTGATAAAGTGTATGGATGCCAGGTTGCAGAAAAGAAGCAATCCAGACTGCTTAGTAAACTGGTAGCAAAAAGTATGCATTTTAATATAGCCAAATGAAAAGCCCTAGCCTCTAGAGACAAAGCATAGGGGTCATGTTTATGCAGGGGAGCAGGGAGGGTTATCCTGGAAGGCAGGGATTCTGAATATGTTAGGATGGGAGGTTATGATGGATAACCAGGTGACCAAGAGTTACCAGTGCTAGACTAAAGGGTTACTACAATCCTGGGATGCATAAAAACAGGAATACCCCACAGAAGCAAGAGGGTTATTACCTCCGTATTTGACACTGAGTAATCATTACTTGAATAGTGTGCACATATGGAGCCCACACTTCAAGAAGGGTGTTGAAAAACTGGAGAGGGTTCAGGGCAGAGTCACAGAAATCATTAAAGGACTGGAAATTACGTCATACAGCAAAAGACTGAAGGAGTTGCAGCTATTTAGCTTAATATAGACAAGGCTAAGGGACTTTAGCACAGTGTGTAAGTACCTACATAGGGAAATAAATTTGTAAACCGTCTTCAATCTGTCAGGTAAAGTGATAAAAATATCTAACAACCAGACATTGAAACTAGACAAATTCAGACTACAAATATGGTGCATTTTTTGTGTCAATTTTTTTGCTTTATTTTGTTTGCTTGGTTGGGGGTAGGGGGAAGAAGGAGCGTTTGCTTTTTATTTTTCTTACAGTGAGGATATTTAACCATTGGAACAACTTACCAAAAGCTGTGATAGCTTCTACAACACTTATAATTTGTAAATCTTCACTGCCCTTTTTATTATGCTCAGCCTTGAATCCCAGAATTGAGGTAGCATCCAACTGTGGGATCACCATATGAGAGGCAGTCTCATGCATCCAAGGCTCATGCCAGTTAAAAGTTTTATGGGTTAAATTAAACACCAAAAATTGTCCCCAGAAATAAACTGGAAACCAGTACAAGTAATTACATGCCACCTGCAAAACTGCATATGAGTATCCTAAAATGTTATCCCATCACTGGGTCAAAAATCCTTTGTCACAAAGGATGGAAAATGAGTCTGTACTCAGTGTATGCTCTTGTGTTCATGTATTGTCTAACTTTGCTCAGAGCAAACCTAGATAACAAGGCTGCAACCTCCAAATTAGGTACATATAAAGGAACATTTCTCAGCATCAGTAAATAGACAGTGATCTAGTCAGACCAAACTGAACTGGAGTCACAGAAGAGCAGCAAACTCTTAATTGTCTGCAGTCATCCTAGCTTCGCTTGGCTTTATTACACCCATCATATCAGTGGCATTTGAAGGAACAAGATAACCCCCTTTCAAAATCCAGTGCAAAAGACACTGGCCTGGTTCTTCACAGCAACCACATCAGAAGAAAGACGCACAGAGCTAAACTGCCTTCACAAATGAGGAACCAGAATCCATATCACTTCACTAACTCTCGTCTAACTACTGAGGAAAAGGAGCAACTAAACAGAACTCTGCAGTACCCCACTTCGGACAACTTTCAGGCAAATGAATAGTCACCCAACACTATTTTCTCCATACACCCCAAAAATTCAACCTTTAAAAGGACATCTTTATCACTGATGGTTCCTAGTCAGACCACCACCACTATACTTTACAATCAAGGCAGCTGAACGATGCAGAACAACCAACTCTCACAATACATTCCCATTACCTTCTTTATAATTTCATATCCAAAAACGTTACAGTTAATCTAGTATTTAAAATACACTGCCTTTATTCAGGAGATAACTTCAGGAAAAAGTCCTAACCACTGCCTCTAAAAAAAAAAAAAAAAAG